CAGGGTGCACGTTTCGCCCTATGATCCACGCGGCGCCACGCAAGGCAGCCGTCACATCGCCTCTGGCGACAGCGTGCCCTCGCCCGAGTGCGCTCGCTTTGACCGTCGAGCGCATCCTGCGCGACGCACGCAACAAGCAACGCGCGCACTAGGAGACTCTCGATTATGAACCATTCATCTATTTACTAATACCACAAATACCATGCATCGAATCAACTTGTAATGAAATGTACTTTTGCCGATGTTGATGCTGCCGCGCATCGCACCGCCCGTAACGTGGCCACGAATGCGTTCATATCTCTGGCGTCCGAGGGTGGGCAGGGGAAATGTAAAGTGTAAAGTACACATGCAAACAACGTTGCGTGCTTGCGTTTATCTATCTGTAGTTGGCTTCTAATTACTTGTTCTTGGCCGCGAGCTCCTTCTGGTACTCGGCGACGAGCTTCTCTTGCGCGTCGCGCGCGACAAAGTCGTGCGTCTTGTACTCCATCGTGAACTCGCCCTTGCCCTGCGTCGAGGACCGGAGGTCGGTCGAGAAGCCAAACATGTTTTGGAGCGGCACGTCGGCGCGGATGACGGTCGTCGTCTCGTCGGCCTCGCTGCTCTGGATCATACCGCGGCGACGGTTGAGTTCAGCGATGATGCCGCCCTGGAACTCGTTCGGGACGTCGACTTCGACCGTCATGAGCGGCTCGAGCACGCTCGGGTTGGCCTTGGTGAAGGCCGCCCGGATAGCTTGCACCATGGCCGTGCGGAAAGCAAGTTCGCTCGAATCGACGGCGTGGGCCTGGCCGTCCGTGATAACAACGCGGAGGCGCGTGATCGGGTGGCCGAGGAGCCAGCCCTTGGCGACAGCATCGTTCACACCCTTCTCACACGCCTGGATGTACTCGGGCGGGATCGCGTTACCGATAATGTCGTTCTGGAACTGGACCGGGGCCTCACCGGCTTCGATCTCCTCGTCCGAGATGGGCTCCACGTAGCCCGTGACACGGGCGTACTGACCCGACCCACCCGACTGCTTCTTGTGGAGGTAGTTGAAGTCGGCCTTCTGGCGCACGGTTTCGCGGTAGTTGACCTGCGGCGCGCCCGACTCGACCTCGACGTTGTACTCGCGCTTCATGCGCTCAATGTAGATCTGGAGATGGAGCTCGCCCATACCCGAGATGATCGTCTGCTTCGAGTCGTCGTCGACGCGGACGCGGAACGTCGGGTCTTCGCGCTGGAAGCGGTTGAGCGACTTGGAAAAGTTGTTGAGGTTCTGCTTGTTGTTGGGAATGATCGCGAGCGACATGACCGGCTCCGGCACGTGGAGCGACGTGAGCGTCAGCTTGTTGGAGCCCGAGTCGCAGAACGTGTCCATGGACGCGCACTCAACGCCGAACATGGCCACGACTTCGCCGGCCGTGACTTCGTCGACGTCCTCCATCTCGTTCGAGTGCATCTTGACGAGGCGCGGCACCTTGATGCGCTTCCCGTTCGACATGTTGTACATGAAGCCGCCGCGCTTGAGCGTGCCCGAGTAGATACGCATGTACGTAAGCTGGCCAAAGCGACCTTCTTCGAGCTTGAACGCGAGCGCCAGAAGCGGCGCGTCGGGCGAGCACGGGACAACCACGGGCTGCTCGTTGTTGGACTGATCGAGCGCAATGTTTTGGTTCTCGTGCGGCGACGGGAGGTAGTCCAAGACACCGTCAAGCATCGGCTGGACGCCCTTGTTCTTGAAGGCAGAGCCCATGAAGACAGGCACAAACTTGTGCGCAATCGTGGCCTTGCGGATCGCGGTCTGGAGCTGCTCGACCGTCGGCTCTTCTTCCATGAGGAAGAGCTCGCCAATCTCGTCATCGACGTCGGCGAGGCGCTCGATCATCTCTTGGCGCTTGGCCGCCGCGAGTTCCTTGAGCTCCTCGGGAATGTCCGACGAGACGACGATCGTCTCACCGCTCGGGCCTTCGTGGCGGTAGACCTGCATCTTGACAAGGTCGACAACGCCTTCAAGAGCGTCTTCGGCACCGATCGGGATCTGGACCGCGGCCGCGTTGAGCTTGAGCTGCTTGCGGAGGTCGCCGACGACCTTCCAAGGGTTGGCGCCCATGCGATCGAGCTTGTTGATGAACGCAATGCGCGGGACGCCGTAGCGCTTCATCTGCTTGTCGACCGTGAGCGACTGCGACTGGACGCCCGAGACACCGCAGAGCACGAGGATACCGCCATCGAGCACACGCAGCGCACGCTCGACTTCGATCGTAAAGTCGACGTGGCCCGGCGTGTCGATGATGTTGATGTTGGACGTCTTCCACGTCGCGTACGTGGCCGCGGACTGGATCGTGATGCCCTTCTCGCGCTCAAGGTCCATCGAGTCCATCTTGGCGCCGACGCCGTCCTTGCCGCGCACGTCATGGATCGCGTTAATGCGCCCGGTGTAGAAGAGGATGCGCTCGGTCAGCGTCGTCTTGCCCGAGTCAATGTGGGCCGAGATACCAATGTTGCGCAGGTTGTCCATGAAGCCCGCGGGGTGCGGGAACTTCTCGAAGAGCTCCATGCTGGGCGCGGCCTTGGCCGCGTCGGCCGAGAAGCCGGCGGCGCGGAGGTGGCGCGACAGGACCGACGGGCGGCGCAGCGCGGTGAGGAAGCGCATGCTGCGAGACGAATCGAAGTGTGATGAACATCGATGCACCCAGGAAACCAGTAAATCTGGGGTTTCCATTTCAACCAATCCGCGCCGCCCCTAGGCGTCATAGAAGCGGCAGAAACGTTTTGGCCAATCAAAGCGCGATGGGCAGTGGAATGCAATGAGCGAGCCAATCAGCATCGGCCAAACACCCGCCACGATGGTCCACAGCCCTAAAGCGGGATAACGGCGTCCACAGACCAGACAAGCAACTTGCTTTGGACGACTGCTCGCTGACGTGGCATACTGAGAGCGCGAACACGCTATTTGTAGCTCTCTTCTGCTCTCGAAGACTGCCAAGTTGAAGGTGAAAGGACTGCCTAAAAACACCTCGTGTGCGACGTTCCACCCAGCGATCGAGTAGGCCATGCCAACGCACACACGGCCCTGCAATTAACCTTTCAACACCTACAAGCTTCAAGACTTCCCGGAGCTCGTCGTCATGGGCCTCACCCGCGGCCGCAAGCGCCCCAGGGCAACTACAGAATAGCAAGATGCACACCCGCGCCAACACCTGCGCAGCCACGGCTCGGCGAGCGAATGAAGGAGACTGTAGTCTCTACGTCTTCTGCGAAGTCTTTGTACAGAACGAACAAAGATAACGCGAAACACGTTCATATATATTGCAGCACCAAAGCGTGCAGTCTAGGAGCTTCGACCTTCTTAACGCTGTGTTGTTTGCGCTTGCACACAGCGGGTGCATGCTGGTGTGCAGCCTCCAAGACGCTAAGCGCGTCATCTATCGTAGCGCATCGGCTCCCATTGCGCTCTACTCGCACTACTGACTCGAGTCAATACAGCTCTCCTCCATGACAAGGTATAGGCAGACCAGCATGACAGAACCGAAAAGTGGTCGTCCGTGCGATTCATTTCGAAGTCGTGGGCGCTGATGCGGCAGCAGGATTCGCCGCTGGAGGGCTACTGGCCATTTCAACGCTTGCGGCAAATATGGAAACACTGCAGAGACCGTCGGGCGTCTTCCAAGAGGTGGTCGCAAACCACCTGCCTTTGTGAGAACGCGTTGCGTGCAGGTGCGCGACTGGCGTTGTCAAGAAAAGTGTAGTGACCCTTTGTGCATTGGGGTAGCCAGCGCAGAAAGTGTGTGGCCGTCCTGCACCGGCTCGTTCAACCAAACGTTCTTCATTTCGGTGAAACGGGGTGTCCTTGGTCCTGCCAGGGAGCCAGCGCAACAATGGCATCTTCGCACATACGTGTGCGCAACTCGATCCCCAAAATGCGTGCAGCGGAGCATGATTCTTCTCCTCATCCCCTGCGTTGGACCTCTCATGCTCCGGAATTCAGGCTGCGGTGCGTGCGCCAGGCTGGCGATACGGGCTCATTTCTTGAAGTGTGAGGGAGTTCAAGCTGGCGAGATGGTTCGCGTGCGACGACCGCTGCAGACTGCACGGCGCTTTGTACTGAACGCTCGCGTCAAATGCTTCGGATGCACCACGTAATCTCAACCAGCATCAACACAGCGTGGGATCGGGCCATCGTGAGTATCACTACGCCGCGTTGACGCGCATATCCGGATACCGAGGTTGCCCTTTCACTTGCGAAACCGCCTCGTTACTCATTGGCCGCGCGTTCTATGGAGCGTGCGGTGATTGGCCGTTTGCGCCTTTGACGCAAGCTGGCCATTCCGGTCGGTTCAAAGAGCTACACACATGTGGGACATGCGTTGGCGTGTCAACGCCCGCACATGCGGCATTCACCAATTTGCACCGTCAATCCCAACGATGGCTCTGGTTCAACTGCAACGCTGGTGGCGCCGCTGCCTCCTCAAGCTCTACGAGGCCAAGGCCAAGTCCCTCGCCGAGCAGCAGCACATGCTTGAGACGAAGATCGCGATCATCAAGGCGCAGCTCGTGGATCCGAACGCGAACTTGCCGATGACGAGTCTCTACGACGGCCTTGAAGTCCTCCACGAGCAGCCCACCGAGGACATCAACGCGTGGATGAACGAGCACGAGAAGTTGCGCGCGGCGGTCTTTGACCAGCTGCAAGCGATCAAGACCAATGTCCAGTACGCGCAGCCGTCGCCGGCCGTCACGCCCGCGCGTCCGAGTCGTCCCATCAAAGGCCTCTCTGCGCCGTCGCCCAAGACGACGCCGCGTCCGACGTCGCTGCCGTCACCGGCCCACTCGGCGGCGTCGTCGTCGTCGTTACGACACATGGGCAAGAACGGCATGCACCCGCTCCAAGATTCACTCGAAGGCATGGAAAAGTCGTTCCATATCCTGCTCCGCGTCATGCGCGTCGTTTTTCTGGTCGCAAGACGGACGGCAGCCAGAAAGTCCCATCGTCCATCATCGTGTCGCACCAAATCCAGCAAACGATCGTCCGCCTCCTCTCCGAGATCCACGAGCGCCTCGACGAGACGATGCAGATCCAGTCGTCGTCCATGCTGGACGAACCACCGGCAACGCCGAAAGCGTCGTGGAAGACGATGACCCACACAGACGCGCTCTTGCCGTACACGCTCGGGTCGGACCCATGGAACCGGCTGTGCCGCGACTGGGCGCAAGGCAGCGAGACCAAGGTCGCGTCCCTGCACCGGTGGCTGGATGCGGCGCTGCACAAGCCCACGAACTGCCTCAAGCCGATCGAGCTCCAGTGCCTCCACCCGGTCGTGCTCGAAGGCTTTCTCAAACTCGTTGTGCCAGCGTTGAAGGCCAAGCACGGCAACATGGTCGTGCAGACCAAGCCGCTCACGGGCACACTCCTCCGGCTCCAGTTCCAGTCGTCGCCGTCGACGCCCAGCAGTACCGTGTACAACATGCGTGGCACCATGGTCGCGTAGCTGCCTTTTTATTCCCTATCTTATTCGCCCACGCTACTACAGTACATATATATAGCGACATCGCTCGATTACAACCCCTCAACTCCACCCCTTAATAGAAAGAGAATTTATTAATATCTTACGCCAGTTATTACTAGTACTTTGTTGTTGAAAGGAGTCGAGTGTTCTCGGTAATTCTACTACATAGTACGTTCTTGCACCGGCGGCGCTTCAACGGCACGGTGGATTGACACGAACCGAGAGACATTGACAGCGCGAGTAACTGCGTGTCGTTTCTGAGTGGGTCATGTGTCACCAACGCGTGCATGGGTACGCTGTCTGCACATGCAGTCCAACGGCGTCGACCCGACTCGACCTGAGGAGTGAGACAACGCAAGCGTTCGCTGGGACGCCGGCTTCGTTCGTGCGACCGAGGCGGCGTCGCAACGTGCTTCAAGAAGTCGATGTCGCAGTTAATCCCGACATTCGAAAAGGATTCGGTGGCGTCAGCGCGACCTTCAAGTGCACTTGAAGCAGCAATTAGCCACGTGTTTGCAATACGTATCCATCACCGCCCACAATTGGAGCGGCAACCATCATCGTTCAATGTCAGCAAGCCCGCACACGACTCGGGCTCAGCTCTCCCCAGTCCTGCGACCTTCTACATGTACAGCCCCAGGCCGTCCCACGAGGTAGCAACACCGCGACAACCGCTGACGACGTCACGAGCGCGCGAAGCGGACGAATGGCCTACGTCGCTCAGTCGGTGGCCAAGTCCGTGGCTCTGAGTCTGTGCATCCAACATTACCGAGCAAGTGGTGTCTTGATATAGTCCAAAATCTCTGTAAAAGTTGTTGTTTGATTCCAACTGGAGGCCGCACAACCGGCATGACGATGACACGTGCGCGCCAGCAATGGCCGAGCTGGCCTCGGGCGTCGAATCAAACGGCGCGATGACGTCGTGGCCGTTCCAAACCCGTTGCACGGCCCTTTTTGAAAGCTCAAGGCGGCCGTTCCAAAAGTGTATCCGGACAGGTATTATCCGGCGGTCGAAAACGAAGATTGTCGAATTTGGACCGTCAATCGGACGCAATGGTGCGAAGGAAGCTCCATGAGCTGAGCGTCCTGAGCTTCAACCTCCTGGCGCCATGCTACTTCCGCCATGGAGGCCGGCTCGAGGCCACGGACGCGTCGCTGTACATGCGCCGGCTAGAGGCGCTCGTGTCGCCCATGAAGGCGGAGAAGTCGAGCATTCTCTGCCTCCAAGAGTACTATTTTGACGAGCGGTACATGAAGCGCTTTGAGAGCCACTTTCCGGGCTTCACGTGCCATCTCGCCAAGCGGCCAGGGCTCAAGGAAGACGGCCTCGCTATCTTTCTGGACAGCAGCAAGCTCACGCTCCACAACTACACGCAGCTCGACTTTGACAAGGCTGGCGAGCGCGTCGCGATGCTCATGCACCTCTCGATTCCGCCGACGCTCCTCGAGACGCACACGCACTCGTTCATGGAGCGGGTACACTGCTCGCCTTGAATCGTCGACCTCATGAACCCTTGTCGTTGTCTAGTCGTTCCTGCTCGTCAACACGCATCTGACATTCCCGCACAGCGACATCAACCGCGTCATGCGCATGTCCCAGATCCAGACGATGCTCCGCGCGGTCCACGCGTACCAGGCCAAGGAGCATTTGCAGAACTGCCCGGTCGTCATGTGTGGCGATTTCAACGACATTTACGACCCCGTGCACAACCTCGTGCTCGAGCACGGGTTCCGGTCCGTCTTCTCGGACGTCCATGGCCGCGAAGCCAAGATCACACACTGCAACCACAACAACAGCGAGGTCCTATTGCTTGTGCATCTATTATGTTCTCATAGAAAGAATAGGTGGGCGTCGACTTTATTTTTGCTCGAATCCGTTCAAAGCATTCCAGCCGATCCCAGAGGCCGACCACCCGTTTCTCCAAGGCGAGAAGCGCCTCGTCTTCAAGCCCACGGGCTGCGACCTACTGCCGCGCGGCCTCCCGGACACGACGCGCCTGAAACGACCCGAGTTTATCCAAGGCGAGCCATGGGCCGAGCACGAGGTGCGTGCACTTACTACCCTCCACGACCTCGTTGTGACGCGCGTGGAATTGTATTAGTGGGGCGTGCCCCGGCCGCACAACGAGACGGTCGACTACTGGCGCATGGTGTCGGACCACCGGCCGCTCGTCGCGACCTTTGATGTCTCGGCCAATACGCTTTAGGGCAGTAACGAGTGGCGGTATGTTGCAATGTCGTGGAGGGCGTCCATAAGAACTGCGTGCTCTTCCTGCGCGTCCGCAAGCGCGAGCGCAATGTACAATGATTTCCATTGCTGGAAGCGCCGACGCACGTGCAGCTGACCAACGAGTTGGAGGCACTGCGACAGGACGAGCTGCGCGGGGTGGTCGAGGCGATGCGGTGAAGTCTTCGATTGGGCGCGCTTGTGGCTGCGCTTGAGGCCTTCAAAGCTCCGTCGCAACAAATTCGCGTGGCTCTGCTGTGTGAAGAAATGCATGAGCCACTCCCGCTGCTTCTTTCGGTCGACGTGACTGCTGGTCCGCAACAAAAGCTTGTGGGCGACGCGTGCACCGACATCGACGCAGACGTCAACAGCGTCGCACGCGTGGTCGTGCGTGACCAGATACCAGTTCCAGAACGCCGCCTTGGCGCGCCGGCGTCGGAACGTCGCGATACGGTCCACAAGCGTTACGAGCGTCGCCAGAGCCGTTGGCGGTAGCGGTGTTGATGTATCGCAGTTGGTACCGACGTCGGTCGAATGAATGCGTGGCGAGAGACTGGCGCGCCACACGTGCAGACACAGTACAAGAAGGTGCCGGCGCTGCATCGTCCGCCGCACCCAGCGCGTGAGACCAAGCAGCGCATGCTGGTGGGCCACCTGCGCAGAGGCGAGTGTCGTCCACGCTTGAAAGCAGCGCAAAAGAACGCGCTTATCGTGCCCGGCGCGCCAGAGCTGCACCACGCGCCGCGCCTGTCCATGTCTCGTGGTGCGCCTTCCAGGATGCCATCGCTGCTTCAAGAGCCTTGGCATGTGCCCGCCGGGTCATGTGATCCAGCAGACTCGCGCGCTGGACTTTTTGAGCGATCGCACGTGACCGCCAGCGCTGGAGAACGCGGTGGGTCCGGTACGCGTCGAAGCAGGTCGCAACAACTGCCACGAGCGCAGCGCCGGCGCGCGCCAACGCGTCTGGACGCCAGTGCAGACGCTCTTTCTGGCCAAAGACAGCGGTGCGCCACGCGAGCAAGCACGTTCGCAGCGTCGTCGCATGCGACCGCTGCGATTTCCAGTGCATGAGAATCCTCGCATAGCGCGCCGCGAGCACCTGCTTGGCCGTCCATTGCGTCGTCATACGATGGTACTGTTTCCACTGCTGAAAAAGAAGCCGCAGCGCCGGGACCGTATGCTGGGCGGCGGCAGTTGTCGAGGTGCGCCAGTAGCGCCAACTTTGGGCAACAAGGCGGCGCTCGTAGCGACGCCAGCACGCCGCGCACTGGGCCTCGCGAGATCGCACGACGTCTCGCCAGCTCGACCAGACGCGACGCAGGTTGGCGACGCTTCGCCGCGTGTGGTGCCGAGCGGCCATGTGCACGAAGAGCTGTCGCTCGATCGCGGCTGCGCATATGCTTCGGCACCAGCGGCGCCACGCTGCTTGCAGCCATTGACGACGCTGGATGGCGATGGTGGATGCCCACGCGAGGAAGCATCGGTGCACGCTTCGGCGCTTGGCTCGGCGCCGATGTTCTTTGGATGCCATCGCTTTCTGTTTCCAGGCAGCAACGATTTTGGCAAGCAGCTGCAAGCCTTGGGCACAGCATGCAACGTGGACGTACTGCAGGATGCGGGCTTGGCGCAGTGCGTCGTCGGATCGACGCTTCTCGCTTTCTGCGTGCATGTGCAGCTTGGCAGCGCGTCCGACGGCGTCGCGAAGACCTGTCTGCCATACCGACCACACGCGATAGAGGCGCTTGCGCACTAGCAGCGTCTCGAGGCGGCGCAAGCGTGCCCGGGCGACGGTACGCTGTGCCACAGCACTTTGCCAGGTAGCAACGACCGATGCCGACAACTGCCGTCGGTAGCGGAGGGCCTTGCACCGGGCAATGCGTCGACTGCGGGTGCGGCGCCTCCAGTACCGCAGCAGAGTCCCCACGAGGCGCTGCCGCTGCTCGCAGACTTGCTTTCGACCGCACTTTCGCGCGTGAACACTTCGTCGCCAGTGGTGCAGCATGAGGCGCAGCGTTGCCTCCCGCATCGCCTCGCGCTCGTTGGCTTCGAGCATGGCTTGAATCACCATGACGCGCTGGAGGCACTCGGTGTGGATCGCGCGTCGGAGGCAGTGGAGCCAATTGTTGAAACCGAGCCGCAGTCGGTGGCGCACCCAGCGACCCGCGACCTGAAAGAGGGTTTTGCGGATGTAGCCGCGACCGAGGACGAGGCGGCGCCACCAGTGGAAGCGGACACTCTGCGTGCGCTGTGTGTTGGCGTGGCACTGGTGGCGCCGGCGCTGCCACACATCATGCCACTCTTTCCACGCCAATTTAAGACGGTCGCATCGCGTTACTGTCGCTGCTTTCCATGCCCAGAGGTGGCCTTGGAGAAGGCGGGTGCGCCACGCGTGGATCTTTGCATTGGCTAACGCGATCTTGACAGCTCGGGCAGCGTCGATACCATGTTGCCAACTGTGCTGCAGTCGCGCGGCGCCGACGGCTCGCAGCCACCGAGCCAGCGCGGCTTGCGTAAAACGCCTTGTGGAGGCCGAGAAAACGCGGCGCAACAAGTGTCGGTGTCGACGCGACGCGCCCGCCCGGTCGCTCCATGTGAGGAAGACCCGGCGTTGCCACTGCGCTTGCCACGCCCGCGTGCTTGCCTCGTGCATCGCTCGCGCGCGCTAGATACCACAACATGACTTCATTGTTGCCTCAAAGCAGGGACCGTACCGTATGCGCATCATGGTACGTCGCCCAGTGGACGAAGAGGAGCTTGAGACGACGGGTGCGGGCTTGCCGCGCGAGGCGCGTGTAAATATAAGACGTAAAGACGTAGCGCTGGTACTTGATTTGGAAGGCGTGGGACACGCGTCGCCATTGGACAAAGGCAAAGCGAGCCGCGCGCTCTTCCAGCGCGATAACCAGATGCAAGAGGAGGCGCTTCACCCGACGACGGTGCACGACCTTTCGCCGCCATAGTCCGATGCAATCCTGCCGTGTGCGCCTCGCCCGGCGCTGAACGAGCCAGCGATCCATGGCGCGCGCAGTCGTGATCGGGCGGATCGTGAGCAAACCAAACCACGCGAGCCGCAATCGCACCAGCTGTCGGCGCTGCAGCAGCCGCCGCAGTGACTCTCGTCGGCGTCGTTCTCGGTGCACATGGAAATGCCACGCTTGCACCACGCTGCGAACGTGCTGGTGGCTCTGCTGCACACACAGGAGCGTCGCCAACTTGGTCTGTATTTGCATCGCGCCATGATGGAGCCTCCGAACGCGGTCGTCCCAGAGGCACTGGCGCCAGCGCTCGAGTCCCGCCCGGATGGCCATGCGTGGCCGGCGTGACGCATACCAGTGACGCAGCCAATGCCGTTGGTGGTACCCGCGTCGGTAGCACGCATGCCAGTGCAGGAAGAGCCGTCGCGTGCCCCGGTGTCCACGCCGAGCAGCCATTTGCACCGCGAGACGGTCGTGGTACTCGGCCTGCAATCGGTAGGCGCGCAGGCCGCAGAAGCAGAGTCGCAAGAGCTTTTTCTGGGCATCCCCCAGGTACTTGAACCAAAACCGCTGAGCGATGGACCGGGTCCCGCTCACCAGCGAGAATTGTGCATCTCTGCTCAAGCGATACCGCTGCCACTGCGCCAGCGCTCGCTGCAGCGGCTTGAGCGTGAGCCGCCGCCGCAGCACAGACATGAGTGCTTTTCGGATCGCCCGTCGACGCAGACACCATTGCTTCCACCGCACGTGCACGCGGAACTTGGCGTTGTGGTCGTATCGCTGCACTTGGTAGAGCTCGACGTGCCGCGAGACTCGGTGCTGCTGCTCGACACGCACGTGCCATAGCCGAAAACAGCGGCGCTTGGTCTTGGCGTCGCGCCGCGCGTCCCGCTTCTGCATCCAGAGCCGCCACGTATGCGTCTCGAGGCGGCGACGACGGACAGCGTACCGATGCCAGGCGCGATAGAGGGCGACGAGACGGCGCCGGCGCTGGCTGCGTTGAAACAAACGAACGTGTATTTGGTGGGCGTGCTGCTGGTGCCACTGGCGGAACCGGCGTCGACAGCGGGCGCGCAAGAAAACACGTAACAGTTGCTGCGCGCCGAGTCGTTGCTTTTGACACAGACGCGTGTGCTGTCGCCACATGTACAAGACACTGGCGGCGAGGAAGCGCCGTTGCTTTTGCCGGCGGTGGCGCTGCGTATGGCGTACCCACGCCGCCCATAGCCGGTGGACCCGCCGGCGTCCATGCGAGTGTCGATCGCGAAGCAGCCACCGGGACGTCGACTGCACAACATTAATGTGTCGTTGCCAGTGGGAGAGTGCTTGCTGGAGATGGAGCTGCACTGAGCGCTGGTACACAACGCAGAGACTTCGGAGCTGACGACGGCGCGTCCGAATCCGCTTCCATTGACCAAAGCATCGCTGGCGCAACCTCGCTGCTTTGAAGCGCTGTACGAGCGTCGCCATGTGCGACGACAAGATCGAGCGCCCGTCCTGAAGCCTTTTTAGGGCCAATCGGTGGTCCGTGTGCACCGCCACGAGGCTTTCCTGCAACGACGAGCACTTTTCACGCGCGTGCGCGCTGTGTTGCCAGCGCTGCCAGGCCAGACGCGAGTACGTGCGGTGGCGTCGCCACCAGAGACGCCGCAGTCTTCGTACTTGGTCGGCCGATTGCTGGAGCGCGCGAAAGCAGTGGTACAGCCGACGCCATCGTCGGCCTTGACGGACCGCGTGCACCAACTGTTGGGCGTGGCGCTGGCGTTGATGCACGTGCTGCCATTGCGCTAGCGCCAGACGCTGCCGCTGCTGCTGCTGCAGACGACAACGGTACGCGACGAGGTCGCTTCGTCGGTGCCGAAGGCGACAGAGACCGACCCACCGCCGAAACGTCAGGCACATCTCGTTGGTTTGGTCGAGGCGACGGTACCGACGCTGCTCGATGGCGTACTCGCGGGTGTGTGCGGCTTGTGTCTCGGCAAACGCGTCTTCGTATGCTTTTGCCTGCTCCTCAAGCGCAACATTGGCCCCCTTGAGGCACTCGATCCAGATCTGCAGCTGCTCGTCTTTGGCCTGGAGCCGCCACCGCACCAAAGCCTGCGTGAGCCGCCGTTCGTAGAAGCGTCGCAAAATTGGCGCCCAGAGCCGCCGAAGACGCCGCCGACTGCGGAACGTATCGCGCCATCGCAGAAAGAGCGCTTGCACCGCGACCGGCCACTGTGATGGCGCTGCTGACCACGTGCATTGCAGCTGCGCGCTCCACCGGTGCCACGCATGCCGCATTCTCTCGCGGTGCAGAAGCGTGACGAGGCGGCGCAGATGCTCGTGTTGTCGTTGATGCTGGACGAGGGCCGCAAAGATGCTGGCTTTGCATCGGGCCTGTCGGCGCTGCCGCAAGGAGGCTTCCATGCGCCCTCGCCACACAGCAACTTGAGCGTGGTGGTACATGGTGACGTCCTCGAGCTTCTCGGCCGTGGCCGAGCTACACTTGAGCGCCTCGGCCGCGACCTTCTTGTTCATCTCGACAAGCAGAAGGAGGTCCTGGATGCGCGACTCGTACGCAGCGGCGTGGCGCGCGTCCGGCGGGCGGACAGCGGACGACGGCGGCTCCATGCACGACTTCACGTGGGCACCATAGATCGACTAAGATACCGTTCTAAGATACCGTTCTAAAATACCGTTGATGGCAAAAATAGCGATTGCGTGCCAAATGGCGAGACGGGCTTATTAAGCGCATCTCCACCTCACATGTGTCTCCACCTAACGTTAAGAGCATCTCCACCTAAGAGCATCTCCACCTAAGAGCATTTCCACCGGTACATATATGCGCGCCATTTTCGATCATGATCAACGCACGCAACTACTACCAGACAGGTCATAACCAGAGTACCGTCTCTGATAAACCAGACCATATCTATTGACAGCTCCAGTTCTTGATAAAAACATTTCTGAACACGCGGTCGCTTTAGTTGTCAGAACCATTACGCAATTATCCATCAAGAGCAACGCACAGCGCCCAGCCCAAGCCCACGCTCCAACAATCACGATTGAATCCTCGGACGGAAGCATTTTCAGCAGCGGCGACGGTGCTTGGAGCGCCATCGTCGTTGCTGGAAATGCTGCCGTCCGAGGATTCAATCGTGATTGTTGGAGCGTGGGCTTGGGCTGGGCGCTGTGCGTTGCTCTTGATGGAAAATGGCGTGTGTGACGACCCAACTACCGCGTGTTTCAGAAATGTTGCTCGACTTCGAAACCTTTATTTTGATTAAAGTATGTTCAAATACGTGTCTTGACATTGTTTTATCTCTATTGATTTGTATACCATACAAAAAGGAAGTTTCGTGGCACGATGGCGCACGTGGAAGAGTCGACGGACCACTCGGCAGGCCGTATGGACGACGACGGGGTGCCCGGTGGGACTGTGAACGGCGAAGCAACTACAAGGCGACAAGAGGTGCGAGAGCTTCCGCGCAGCGCAGCCGCGGTCGTCGGCGCCCTTGAAGCTGTATCAGCCCCAACGTCGACACGCAAGCGGGGTCGCCCGAGACTTGAGCCCGCTCCATCGCCGCCCAAAAAGAAACGTGGTCGCCCACGGCGCGGGCTGCTGGCGCAGGAAGTGCTTGTAGCACCATCACAGTCAAGCTTGTCGGACGACGACGACGACACGGGCGCCATGGCGCGACGACCCACACTCACGATTCCGCTCAAGCCACAATATGGGTATCTCGCAACGCACCAGCGTCGACAAGCAACGAGCCCAAGCGAAGATAGACTGCTGCAACCCAGCGAAAAAGCGCTGGAAGCGAAGCCTGCAGAGCGCCGATACCCCGTGAGGGCCAGAGCTGCTACTGCGCTAGCAGTCACATTACCCGACGCCGCGGCGGGTGTGCCACGTCACAGCAAGAAGGCACAAGGCCGCCCGCCGCGCAAGCAACCAATACCAACGTATGAACCGTCCGTAGAAAGCGATGACGCAGAAGCACCGCCAGCGGGATCACCACGCGACGAGCCAAGTTCAACATCTCATGCGCGTGGGGAGCCCGACGCGATAAGATTTGCTGCGCTCGAGAAGCGTCTTCGCGATCTCGACCGATACAACACGTACCTTGAGTCGCGTATCGCAGAGCTTGAGGAGCAAGTCGCTGCGGCGACAAGCGGCCCAATCCGCCGTTTGAGCGGCCGCAATACGAGCCTGGCCACGCCGCAGCCGGCGTCCGCCACGTACGTGCCACCATCCAACGTGGCACAGGAGCCGTCGTTGCGATCTTCGCAGCTAGCTCAAACGCCGCCATCGGTAGAGCCAGCGCTGGCCACGGTGGTACCGCCGGCAACAGGGCCGTCTCCTACAAGCCTTGGCGTGTCCGGAAGTCGTTTGATGCCGGCAGACCTCTTGCCGTGGCTCAAGCTCCCACCCAACATGTCTGTGAGCGCTGGCTTTCTCATGGAGGCGACGGCCGATCTCGTCAAGCCATGGAGCGTCGTCATGCACATCCTCCCCGAGGCGACGTGTCAAGCGCGTCTCGAGGCGCTGCCGCGCATGCTCGCGTTTGTCGTGGACGGCGAGTCGTTTGCTCTTCCGACAAGCGCGCTCTTGGAGCACGAGGCGAGTTACTTTTACGCGGTCGTGCTGCACCAGCCGTACGCCATCGACAAGGCGGGCGCGGCCGTGTTTGCGCTGCAGGTGCATTTGCCGCCAGCACTCTTTGGCCGAGTTATCAAGTACCTCTTGTACAAGCACCTCGACACGCGCGACTTGTCGGCGACCAATATCACGCTCCTGCACTGCACGCTCAAGTTTTGGTGCATCAAGTGGTTTGAGCGGTCCCCGACTCTCTTTTCGTTCGACGCGACGCTTTCCTCGGCCAAGATTGCGCTGCTCGAGAAGAACAAAGCAGCGTCTCTTCCATACGAAGGCGATTATGACTTTGAGTGGGCCTTCGGTGCAAACGCCGTCACGCGCTTCTCGGTCTTGCTCGGCGACATTGGTGGCGACGTGCTCGTGGGGCTCGGCCCACGCGAACCGCACGTCGAGCCTGGCAATTTTCCAGGCTGGTTCATTCACGTCCAAGCCTCTGAGAAGGCGTACGTTCTGCACAAGGCCAAATCATTCGCGTACATGGAGAAACGCCCCGTGACGTTTGAGCGCGGCGATATCCTCACGGTCCTTCTCGACCGAGACACACTATGGCTGCGCTTTTTCGCAACCAAATGGAGCTCGACGTCGCCTTCCGCCTCGAGGCGCGCGACGTACAGCAGCCACTGTTCCCGTCGATTGGGCTGCGCCCATGTGTCGATAAGCTAGGTACCCGACACGGCTGCCACGTCGCGTTTTACGGCTAAAACCTCTCATAATACATCTCTTGCGCGATTGGATGACTGAAAAGTCCAATGATCATTGTGTTGACCTGTATAAGATAATAGGTTGCCACAAGTCATGTATCCATACCGAGATGGAGCCCATGACCATATTGTGTTTACTTGAATTGACTATGTGGTGTACAATAGGTGGTACGTTTTGTCTGTGGCACATGCCGAATATACCGGTACCACCGACGCACCGACGGCATGGCACCGACGGACGACCGTGCGCCACGGGGTACCAAGCGCACTCGGCACGCAACAAGCTCCTTCGAAGAGCGCCTCGCGCAGCTCGAGAAACGATCTCGCGCCATGGACGTCCGGCTGCAACGCGTCGAGCACATGTGGCTTGACGGCGCCGAGGTGCCGCTTTTCGACCGGCTGCCGTTGCAGCTGCGCTTTGTCCTGACGGACCACATGACCTTGGACGTGCCCACGAGCATGCTGCGAAAGTTTCCCAACTGCGACCTCTACGAAGCGATCCTCTCCGAGCCCTTCTCGATCGCACCCGATGGAGCCGCCGTCGTGCATTTGAGCAACAACACGCCACACCGCATTTACGTCCGCGCGATCAACGTCCTCTTGTACCACGTGCTCAATTTGCGCAGCGTCAATTCTCGCGAGGCCCGCTGGGTCTGCGACAAGCTTGCCACGTGGGACGTGCCGGCCGCGTACATGCGGACCAAGGGCTCGGCGACTTGGTCGCAACGGCTCTCGAGCCGCCGCTTCAACGTGAGCGCCGACAAGCGCACGTTGATTTCGACGCCGCCGCAAGACGATGCGTTCGAGTACGCGGTCGTCGTGAGACCTACGGACCATGTGGCCATGCGGCTCGTCAAGGTCGAAGGCAGCATCGCGCTCGGCTTCACGCGGTGTCCGACACAGCAGCAATCGAGCTACGACGGCTGGTTTGTGCACATTGCACGCGGTCCGCACAGCGTAAGCTTTGGGCCCACCGGATGCTACCTGACGTGTCTCCACGGCGACATGCTCACGCTCGTTTTGGACCGAAGGGAAAAGACGATACGCGTCTATCGCAACCAGCAGGACCTCGGTGTCGCCTACGTCCTGAACAGTACCGAGAAGCTCAAAGTGGCGCCGGTCCTAGCCTACCGCGGGTGTCCAAGCGACATGGTGCACTTCCCATGTCACGTTAGTTTGTACTCGTAGTCGTCCACAGTGTTGAACACGTCATTTCAAATTCAACCGTCATGTTATCGCGATTCGCCTTTAAGCAACGATGTGGAGCATAGTAGAACGATCTACTTTTTCTTGGGTGGCCCAAAGAGCGACGCCTCGTCATCCGACCACCCTTCCGAGTCCGAGTCGTCGGCCTTGAAGAGCCGGGCGGCCGGTGGCGGCGGCGGTGCAACGCCTGCGGGCGTGGTCGTGGCCGGCGCAGCACCAAAGAGACTTGCGGTTGCCGGCGCCGCAGCACTAGTGTTGCCAAAGAGACTTGCCGTTGTTGACGCTGGTGGGTTGGCGGGTGCAGCACCGAAGAGCGACGCGCCTCCAGAAGCGGGCAAGGGCGGACCCGTCGACGGCGCCGAGCCAAAGAGGGAGGTGCCCGCAGCGGTTGGCAAGGCCGGGCCCGTCGACGCACCAAAGAGAGATGTCGTGCTCGACGAAGGAGCCGCACCGAAGAGCGACGAGCCGCTGGCAGCGGGAAGCGGTGGGCCCGACGTCGAAGTCGAGCCAAAGAGAGAGGAGTTTGTCGCTGTTGGGAGCGATAGGCCCGAAGACGGTGCCGAGCCAAAGAGAGACGACCCCATGGCCGTCGGCAGCGGTGGACTCGAAGACGGCGCTGCGCCGAAAAGAGAGCTCGTCGACGATGACGCGCCAAAGAGACTAGCTTGCGCAGGCGCCGCCGTCAACGGCTGACCAAAGAGACTTGTGTTGCTGGGCTGGGCTACCACCGCCGCCTGTAGAATCGCCGCCGGTTGTAGGGAAGCGGCTGGTTGTAGGGAGGCAGCAGAGTAGAGCGACGCAGCGGGCTGAAGCGACGCAGCGGGCTGCAACGTCGCTGCTGACGGCGCCCCAAAGAGGCTTGCCTGGGGCGCGGCCGCCGCCATGGGCTGGCCAAACAAATTGGATGTGGACGCCGAGGATGGCGCGGGTGATGGTTTGGGTTGCAGACTAGAGGACGCGCGTCCAAACAGCCCGCCGCCATTGCTATCGTCGTCGCTCCACTCGTCCTCACTCTCTGGTTTCGGGGGAACAACCGCCTTGGGCGGCTGCGCGACCGGCAAGGGCTTGGGCACAATAACGGCTGGCGTCGGCGCAGACACAATCGGTGCCGCGACGACCGGTGTCGGCTTCTTGTTGGACGATCCAAAGAGACCGCTGGCCGTCGACTCGTTGTCACTGTCGTCGCCAAAGAGCGTACTCGACGGCTTTGGCTCGGGCGCAAACAAGTTTTTGCGCGACGACGGCCGCTGCGGCGTCCCGAAGAGACTGGCGCTGGACGCACTCGCATCGGTCTCATCGGATTTAAATAAGCTGTGCAGTCGCGTCTGCGGCGCGATCGTCGTCGTCGTCGTTGTCGTCTCCGTGATCGTGACCGTCGTTGGCTTGGCCGGCGGCGGCTTGCCAAAGAGGCCACCATCGTCGTCACTGTCGTCGTCCGAGCCGCCAAAAAGGTTGGACGCCTTTGACGGCGCCCGCGTAGCCGCAGGGGCGACCATAGGCGGCTGCGAGACCACGGGGGGCTGCGAGACGACGACAGGAGGCTGTGACGCGACAGGTTTTGGCGGCGGCACCGCAATCGAGGGCGTCGGTGCCGCCTTGGGCGCACCAAACAAGCCGCCTCCGTCGTCGTCGCTGTCATCACTGTCTTCGCCAAAAAGGGTAGTCGGCTTGGCAGCCGGTGTCATTCGCGGCGGCACCGGTACCATCGGTGCCGCCGGTTTGGTGTCGACCGGAGCGATTGCAGTCGCCGGCTTGCTTTTCGGTGCACCAAACAAGCCACCGTGGTCATCATCGTCGCTGTCGCTGTCAAACATGGCCGACTTCTTCGGCGCCGCAGCGGGCACAAGCACGGGCGGTGCCGCGACAGGTGCCGCGACAGGCGCGGGTGGCGTCGATTGGGCGGCCGGGCGGCCAAAGAGGCCCATCGAGTCGTCTTCATCGTCACTACTGTCACCAAACAGTCGCTTGGATTGCTGCGACGGCTGCATGGACGGAGCTGGGGCAATCGGGGCCTTGGGCTGCGCGCGCGAGGACCCAAACAAGCTCGACTCCGAGTCTGAATCAACATCGAACGCAGGCTTCGTGGCCGGTGGAAGAGATGCCTTCCGAGACATGTTGACTGTCGACTGCCGGCCAAAAAGACCACTGCTCGTCGACTCGGCGTCGCTGTCGCTTTCCCCAAACAGTGCTTGGCCAGTCGTCGCTGGCTTGGGTTGCTGCCGGGCCGCGGCCGAGGCCTTGAGCTCGCTGAAGAGGTCGTTCACGGGCGGGCGGGCTGCAGGTGCGGTGGGTGGCGGCACCGCACGGCCGTCAAACAAGTCGCCGGTCTTTGTTTCTTGAGCGGCAAAGAGCGACGAATGATGTCCGTCGTGGCCCGACGCCTCACTCTCGTCGTCGCTGTCCATGCCAAAGAGGCCACCGCGCTTGGGCGGCGCGGGCTTGGAGGCAGTGGACGGGTTGAAGCCAAAAAGGTCCTCCGAGTCGTCCGAGTCCGAGTCGTCGACGTGGGCAGCCGCTGGCTTTGGTGGCATTGGCGGCATCGGGGGCCGTGGGCGTGCACTGCTATCGTGCTGCACCTCTTCTTCTTCACCTTCAGAGTCCTCTTCGTCCGACTCGTCTTCGTCCGACGCGGACTCTTCTTCTTCCGAGTCGTCCTCGCTCTCGGAGACGTCCGAGCTGCTGTAGCCCTCGCTGCCGTCGTCGTCCGTGTCCGAGTCGGGCGCCGCGCCGAGGCCCAAGTACTCGTCTTCGAGAAACTCTTTCGTGCCAATGACGAACGGCAGTGGGCGCTCGTTGTAAATATCGACGACATCGTCGTCCTCTTCGTTGCCGACCGAGAAGAGCTTCATGGCGGTCATGCCCATCTCCAGCGCCGCCCTAGCCGCATGGATATCAGATACACATCGTTAATACATGCGTACCGATACTGATCGACGACCTGGATATCCTTCTTCTTGGCCGGGTCGTCCTTGGTCGGCTCGGGCTCGACCGGCTTGTCGTCGCTCGTCGGCTGGGCCGCTCCGTCCGCGTCCGCCGGCGCCGCGACCATATCGTCTTCTTCTTCTTCGTACACGCGGTTCTCAATAAACTGGCTGTCGCTGAGCATTAAGAACTGGTTGATCGAGTTGTTGAGGCGCACGTCGGCGCGCTCCGCGTCCCGTCCGAGCTCCCAGATCGAGTTCTCGAGCGCCTTGGTTCGCGCGAGGAGCGTCTGCGAGAAGAGCTTGAGCTGGACGGCCAGGGCCGCGTCCTCCGCCAAGGTCCAGTCGGTCCCTTGATGGGGCGATAGCAGCTTCGCCCAGTCCATGCTGGTCGCGTGGGGTCCAAACTTGTCTTTGATCGCCGGATCAGCCATCCGGATACGACGCCGGATACGACACCGAAGCTTGCCCGCGCGCTTTCTCTACGCATGCTAGTCAACGGACCATGACACGCATCATCGAGCACAACATCACCCAGCGCCTTACGCGCATGGCTGGACCATGAGGCTGCGCTGATGCGAGCCCGTATGCGTCGAAGAAGGCAACGCTACCAAGTTCCAGAGAACAGCTCTCTAGCACTACCCTACACTCGACGTGCCTCGTACAAAGACCGCCGGGTTCACAGGGTAAAAGTCACCGTCGCTTCGCCGGCCTTGGCTGACAGGACACATCACAGTCGCGTCCGTTGGCATCAAAAGAAGAAACGAGTCGCGGCGACCTCGTGCGATGCTGCTGCGTTCTTGACAGGCGGCGCCGGGATGGCCCGAATTGGGTACCGTTGGACGACCGGTCAACCGCCAAAAGAACAGTATGGCCACAGCTTCAAGGTCGCGGTGACGCGCATGCTATACGGACATAATGGGCAGGTGGAACCAGCGTGGCCGCGCGGGACACCATGGATCGCGCTACTTCGCGACGACGTCGTGCGATCTTGGCGCGCGCGGCGAGCCCGACGCTTCGCAGGCGTATCATTCGATATCGAAGGGCGGGTTTTGATGGCCATCGGCCTGCTGGATCCTTCGATTTCCGAACGCGGGCCTTTCACTTGCCAATCAGCAGCGAATCTTCCGGACAGGCCGAAGGTTATCCCGGCGCCCGCCGATATAAGGTTTGCAGAGGAACGGTGTTGTTACAGCGATGAGACATCGAACATTACGTTTTGAACAGGTTTTAAACAGCAAGCTTGGGGCTTGTAGTTGAGTGGCGTGAATGCAACAGAACACTGCTGGAAACCAACACAACGGCCGGACGTGGTGCGTACGGCGAATGTACGCGTACATAAGCCACTACATACAAAGAACAAGTGTAAGCGTACATTCGAATGGACGATGCACGCACTGATGGGCGAGCGACGGTGGTCAAAGGCACCGAATCGAACGTATTGCCCATACAAAAGCTCTCTAAGTAATCTTCTATGTGTTTTATTGCCCAGTTTCCAAATCACTCACAAAAAAGCCATCAAGCACTCAACTGATTAGCGAACGCTTGAGACACGACCCGACCTACAGCGCCTCACAGCATACCAGCATGGACAAGCTCAAGACAACCACCAAGCTCACGCTGGACACGATCAACACGCGGCCCGTGAGCCCGACGCCAGCGACCGAGTTTACGACGCCGCCCCGTCGCCCGAGCCCGACGCCGCCCGCGCACCCAAGCCAGCTGCAACTCAAGGTCTCGGGGACCGCGTGCGATACATGGCGCGACGCCGCGCACATGCGCGCGCTCGAGCCGTACATCTCGGTCGAGAAGAAGCTCACGGCACTCAAGATTCCGACGGCATGCGAGACGCCGCTCCACTACACACCGCCGCCGCCGTTCCCGGAAACGAGCCCGAGCGAGAACAAGATGATGGACGCCGACTTTGGGAAGCGCAAGAAGGGTACGCGACGAGGGACACTCAACCCTGAGGCGAAGAACGTGCTCAAGGCGTGGATGTTCTCGCCCGAGCACTTTGCGCACCCGTACCCAAGCGAGGAAGAGAAGGAGGAGCTTGCGGCCGAGGCCGGCATCGAGGTCAAGCAGCTCTCGAACTGGTTTACGAACGCGCGGAAACGACTATGGCAGCCCGTGCTGCGGCAGTCGGGCGTCGAAGTCAAGAACTTTCTTTCGACAGGCCGTGGCGGGCCGCGCGGCGCAAAGCTCGATGTGCCGTCCAACATAACGTTTGTCGCGCCGTCGTCGCCACCGACGTCACCGCGTAGCGCGTCGGTGGACGAAGACGACAGCTTCCGCTTCAACTCGGTGCCCGAAAAATTGGTCAAGCGCATGAAGCGCGAGCCAACGGACGCCGAGGCGAGCGGCGACTCTGGCGACTCGGACACGTGGTCGGATGCACGCAAGGACGTGGTCGTCAAGAGTGGTTTCCGAGACCTCGAGATCCTCGCGGCCAAGTCGCTCCTCGGCCTTCACCGCGAGCCCGTACACTAAAACCAACCCTAGATAGACACTACACGGACGCCGACACTATTATAACTTTTAAGTCGGGAAGGATCTTCCCGTTGATTATTATTATTACCACGATGCCTGCGTTCCCGTTGCGAGGAGGCGCGCGATCCTTCGAATATCTGCGGCGCAGCGTGTCAACCTCATCCACCAACCATGTTGAAGCGCGTAATTTTATTCGATGACACGCATCGCCGAATTTTATTAGCGCTTGGTCCGTGGTGCGTTCTCGAAATCCGGATACCGCGTTGACACGCAAACGGGCGGCCGCGATTGGCCCGTTGGTGCGACCAATCCCACGCCACAGCGACCCCAACTTCGAGCGCTCGTGCGGCATCGGTTCGAGCGACCGCGTCGATACCTATAGATCTTATTGTCTCCATACAGCGCAGGACGCAGGGATCACGACCCGCGCCCGGCTCTCAGCGGCGGAGATCGCCACACTTTTGATGTGCATCAAGGCGGCACCACCTGTCCCACGGCGCCATTAAAATGCGCATCACTCTCCCGGCTTGTTTCTGCTGGCTCGTGTAATAGGTGTACCGTAATCGCTCGCGGGGCGACGAGCTGCGAGGCGACGCGTGGCGCCACGAGAGCGCATCTCATACTCGAGTCGTGTGAAGGCGGCGACTCGTAGCATTCGCAGGCTTTCCGCTGCGCTGGCCGCCAAGCGGTCATCGCATATTATTATGCTTTGCGGCCAAGCAGAGATACGGGCCGATCTGCCGACCTTCGATCGACGCCACCTTCTTGTCCCAGGCTTCATATCCTGATATAGGACATTAGTGTTCGGATATGACCGAAAGTCCTATTTTCATCGCCGTCCAATCAAAATGCCAGCCATATTGGATCACAACGACCGATGAAGGAGTTCGTGAGCGTCGCGGGCCTCCGGGTCGATGGCCGCCGGCCCAACGAAGTTCGCCGCGTCCGCGCCAAGTTCGGTCTCTTCCAGCGCGTCGACGGCTCTGCGTACGTCGAGCAGGGCCAGACCAAGGTCATGGCGGTCGTCTATGGCCCCAAGGAGCACACGGGGCGCAAGACTGCCGAGGAGGCGGCGCAGACCAAGGCGCGCGTTACGTGCGAGGTGACGCAGGCGCCGTTCGCGACAAGCGAGCGCAAGGTCACGCACAAGGCCGACCGCAAGAAGCTCGAAACGTCGCTCGCGATTCTCCAGATTTTTGAGGCCAACATCTCGACCCACTTGTACCCGCGGTCCCAGATCGACATTTTTGTCCAAGTGCTCCACGCCGACGGCGGTACGTCTTGACTTCGTGCCTGCGCCACTGATGTACTGGACGCAGGCGAGCTCGCAGCGTGCATCAACGCGGTCACGCTGGCGCTGGTGGATGCCGGCATTGCCATGAAGGACTTTGTCGTGGCCTGCTCGGCCGGCTACATTCAGCAGACGCTTCTCTGCGGTATACGGCTGTTGTCAGTAGCCGCGATAGCTCACGCACGTACGATAGACTTGAACCAGACAGAGCAAAACGCCCGGTGCCCCGACCTCGCGGTCGCCTTGACCCCGCGCAACGACAAGGTACAGCATCATCGTCACGACGTCCATGCACTCATCATCATCTATGTAGCTCACGCTCGTGCAAATGGAATGCAAGCTGCCGCTCGAGATTTTCGAAGTTCGTTGCTGTACATGCTTCGGTCAAAGTCTCACGCGGTGTGATGTAGTCGCTCATGACGACAGCGATGGAAGGCTGCACGCAAATCTACGAGATCTTGCAGAACGAAGTTCAGGAAAACACGTGGCGCCGCCTCATTTCGCGCGAGACGTCGTAAACTCCAACCGTCGCCGGGTGTATATAGATATATGATGAGGATTAAGCAAGACAGACCGCCTTATTAAAGCTGTACTCGCACCGACTTGGTGATGGCATTTTGGCGTGGCTTGCGCGTCACCAATACTCGGATTGTGTCGTGCGCGTACAAAACCTGCTTGACGTTGGTTTCTTGCGGCGTGTGGTTGCAGCAGTCGCGGCATTGGCACTTTGGACCGCACGGCACGCCTGCTTGGTAACAGTCGCAGTACTTTTTCGAGCATTTGGACTTTTTACAGCGACACGTAATCGCGTTCGCACCCGCCTAGACAATACATATCGTGTCAAGCAGTGTGCGACTACACGGCCACGTACGTTTGGAACAAGCGGAATAAACTGGCGGCGATTCGAGGACGACGGCGCGGGCCCGAGCTTCCCATGGCTCAAGGTCGCTGGCGCAGTCGAGGTCCGGAAGGCGTGGATATTGTTTTTTAAATGGGTCGTGATAGCGCCAAGGCGCTCTCTCGATGCCTTTGTGTTCATGCAGCTTGAACAGCCACATTGCGGGGTACAAAAGCCTTTTGTGAGGAAGCATCGGCAATACCTATGAAATCGCATGAGCCCCGAAGCGGACGCAGAAAGTTATACAGCTTGAGGCAGCCCGTCTTGCACCCGCAACATGTTGTCGAGGCTCGGCTCTCCTTGTGCAGCTGCTCTGCAAGAACTTCAATGTCTGCTTCCCGCGACTCGGGCCCGATCTCGGCGGTCGCCGGTGCCACAATAGACCGCTCGACATCGACCGTCGAGATGGCGAGCACCGGGAGCTTGGGCGCTGGAAGGCCTTTCATTCCGCGTTTCCGTGCAAGGAGCGCATAGCACATGTCGAGCCAGGCTGCGTTGATCTCTTCGGGACGCTCGCTGTCGTCGTCGTCAACGACGGCCGGCTCGCTCATCGTCGGGCTCACCGGCGCGTCCTCGAGTCGTGGCCGCTTGGCCTGGTTGCTCACATCGCTCACCGAGAGAGCGCTGAGGGGCGACCGCTTCGCAGGCTTGGACTTCACCTCGGGCCCATCGACCTCGACACGGACCGCGCTCCGGGCGCTCATCATGCCCGCCGAATCGAAACTCCGCGGTCAAACGCAGCTTTGAAATCCCGTATCCGGACAAATCACGTATCCGGCGTCGAATTTGGCGCGCTTCCCAATGCGAAAAGTCCAGGTCGCACTGCCCAGCGCCAGTCTCTCGCGTGTGGGTTCAAATCCTGCATTAGCGCGACGCTTTGGGTCCCTTGCGACAACAAGTACTGGGATGCGTGCGTGTATTTCCAGCCGGCAAGGTCGATCGCACACTATTTATTATCCACCTTTAGGTCGGGGAGGGTTCAAACAATGCAGCGAGCTATTTTGGTCCTGCCGTTGTAACGACAGCGTTAATAATTGATCCGGGCGTTGCGCTGCCACGAGGAGGATGGCCGACGGACCGGCGGACCCGCCGATAACCATCACCAAGGTACACCGGCTCACGCCGCTGGACACGCAGTCGTCGTCGGTCAAGCGTCGCAGCGTCATCACGTCGTTCCGGCGCGAGTCGGCGTCGCCGAGCGAGAACAGCGCCAAGAAGGACCTTGCCTCGACGCGCATCGACCTCGTGCCCAAGCCCACGTGCTCGTCAACGTTCCATATGAATTCTTCGTCATCGACCTCGTCCAAAATCCTCCCGACACTCGACCACATTGACCGCCACCTGCGCACGAGCATCAAGTACAAGGTCCCCTCTGCTCGACCAACGAGCGTTAAAGGCAAGCGCGCGAGCATCCTCCACCGCGCCCAGAGCATGCGCATGCTGCAAGAGAAGGCGTCGTTCGTGAGCCGGCGGCGGCAGATCTTCAAGCGCACGCGGCAATGCTTGCTCTTGCTCCTCGCGACGTGCATCTTTGCCGGCATCGTACTCATCTTTGTGTTTGGGAGCACGACGCCGCCGACGCCCGTGTGCTGCGGCGGGAACCAGCCGTTCATCGTGACGCTGCTTAGCGGCCTCAAAGCCATGGCCATGGCTATCGACCCCGACGGCATTGTCTATATCGCGAGTGCGGCCACCAACCAGATCTACTATCTTAACGACACGTCGCTGCACGTGCTGGCCGGCACGGGTGACTATGGGTACGACGTCTGTCAACCATCCACGATTACCTCTGGAATCAAACGATCCCGACTAGGGTGGTAAACGGCCCTGTCGCCAATGCGCAGTTCCGGTACCCGTGCGGGATCGCGGTCGACTCCTTTGGCACCGTGTACGTCGCGGACCGGGACAGCCTCGAAGTGCGCAAGATCACGAATGGTTACGTCACAACCCTCCTCGGCGAGCCCTCGGTTGGTGGCATTGCGCCCGGTGGATTTGACGACAACGTGGACGCCGTGCTGATAAATGCGCCAATCTCGGTCGCGGTGGACGTCCATGGCGTGGTCTATGTAGGCTACGGCACGTTCATTCAAGGCGTACGTCTCCCCACGCCCTTCTCTCGTCGTCTGACCGATGCTGGATGCTAGATCAAAACCGATGGAAGCACGTTTGTGCTCGCGGGCAACATGCTGCGCGGGTACGCCGACGGAAACGGGGCCGGCGCGCGCTTCAACGGCATCCGATCCATTGCCGTCGATGCGCTCGCCGAGTATCTCTATGTGTGCGACTACTACAACCACGCGATTCGCCGGATTGAGATTGCAACGACCCACGTCGCGACGCTCCTAGCAACCGGGTTTTACCCCACGAGCGGCGGCGGCAACGTCACGAGCTTCACGGCGCCGTCCGGCATCTTTCTCGTCAACTCGACGCTCTATGTCGTCGACACGTTCTCTAATACCGTCTCCTCGTACGACCTCAACGGCACCCAGCTCAATCAGTTTGGCAATGGCCTCTACGGCAACGCCGATGGGCTCAACGGGTCCTTTGGCAACCCCATCTCGCTTGTCGTGAACGCGTCCGGGGCTGTCTACGTCGGCGACGTCGGCAACCTCCTGCTTCGGCTCGTAATTTATTAGGCGCGAAATCCAACCTCGTCGTCTTGACACTTATACAGTATCATTATTCCACCAGCGGCGTTCATATGTGTCTCGTGTGCAGCTCAGTCGTGGGCCTTGGACGCAGGGCGACGATCGTGAAGCGCACCTCGCCGTCGTCGCGCTGCATGAACGACTGGATCACGCGACACGCATCCTGGACCCATGACAATTAGCACATGCGGTGGATGCAAGGTCGACCTCGAGAAGCGTCTCGCGCGACGACGGGCCGTGGTTGATGGGAAAGGCCTTGCGCCCGTCGAGCTCGTAGAGGTGGTCGTCCACCGTGCTAGTAGGGATAACATACATGGCACATCACGCTAGCCAGAGCGTCTACCAAAAGCACACAAAGTGCGTGTTGATCGGATCGTCGACGTGTTCCAGTTGCTACGGCGCGTGTGTGAATGGGTATGCGAGCAGAGGCGTACGTACCTCGGATTGTCCTTCCTGGGCCGCCGACGCATGCGTCTCTTCGAGCTAGTCGGCAACATGGGCATCTTGCATTAGGACAGCAATCATTGCAGCGTTACGGCATACCTCATCGTCGCCCTCGAGAATGACTGCAATCTCCTCGGGCGTCTTGGCTCGCGTCTTCTCGAAGAACGTCTGCAGGAAGCTGCCCGGTTCTACAGGTAACCTCGGTGACCAAGTCGGGATACTCGATCGACGCACGGTAGGCCACATAGTCGCCAACGTTGCCGAGCGCGTGCAAGATGCCAACAGTGCCACAGGCGTTGCCTGTATCGCATCAGGAGTACCGGGATCCGCACATGAAGGAGATGCGTACCAACGGTCTGCTTCATGTAGTAGACGTTGGGCGACACGACCTGGCCCGACGCTTCGATGCGCTGCCGCTCCTCCTTGGCGTACGCTTCTGTCTAATGACGCCGTGATGAACCATGCCATGCTACATGCCCACGTACATGCGTCTTGATCGGGAAAAGCATGATGACAGCGAGGACCGGGCGGAGGACCATGTCGAGGGCCCAGTCCTCCGTGCTGTAGACGTCGCAGAACTCAAAGGCCGAGTCTGCGGGAAGCCCCATGCGCTTTGCGTACTCGTTCATGACCTGCGGGTTGGACTCGAGCGGGAACCAGCGTTTCGCCTTCGCATCGCCTGCGTCGCCCATGGTACCGGTACTACTTGACCCAGATCTTGTCAATCCAGTTGGCGGAACCGTCAACCTACCTAGCCGGCTAACCTCGTACTTGGCTAACCGGCTACAATCGAGAAGTCCAGAATTTCTCGACCAATCACACACGAGGGCGATGGGCAATGGTTCTCGCAACGGCAACATGTCCCAAGCTTTCAAAAGCCAATCCAAAGGTGGGTCAGTATAACTGGCGCATTTCATTGGTGGAAATAGATACGGGACATGCACCAATCAGAGACGTATCGCTGGGAGTGAGGCGAGTTCTCTGCAGTTCGAGATTTGCAACGTAGGCGTCGAGACGTTAACCTAATGACGAACCCCTCTCTTGCCGCGCTAAGTTCATCATCTTAGGCCGGGTCTTCCTCGGCTACTACCCAACACGCCCCAGTGCGAAGCTCGGCGTTCTCTTCACCATACTTGGTATGTGGCCTGCACCTACTCCGTGACTGGCGTAGCTGCGAGGCAATCATCCAGCTCGACAATAACACATCGTCGAGCTCCATGCAACTTTGTCTCGATGCCAGCTGTAGAGCGTCAGGTCGTCACAGTGGCTCTTGGACAAGAGCCTCCGTCATAAGTTGTTGCAGCGTGAGAAACATACCGCTGGCCGCGGGTGCATCAAACGCAGCTACCAACGTACTCGTGTAAGTCGTGACGTCATCGCCCTTCAACTCCTCGTACATTGCGCATCGCTTTCGTCGTTGTCGCTCGCCATATTCCGCTCTCGGTGTCGGTGCTTGTTGAGTACGTGCGCTCGGTATGTCGTCGTCGGTCGTTCTCGTAGTCCAAGGGTGTCTGTCGGTGTCGATCATCGGTCGCGGTCGTCGTTGCCATTTTTGGTTCTTGGTATCGGTGCTTGTCGATGTCGTCGATCGTTCTCGTAGTCCAAGGGTGTCGGTCGGTGTCGGTCGTCGGTCGCGGTCATCATTTGTCGTTGTCGCCCGTTGTCGCTCGGTTTTTAGATTCGCCAACGCTTAGTCGCGTATGTCCCCCGCCCCGGTATCTCGTCGGTCGTGCTTGTAGTCCAAGGGTGTCGGTCGCGGTCGTCGGTGTCGTCGGTGTCGTCGGTGTCGCTCGGTGTCGCTCGGTTTTCGGTTCGCCAATGCTCGGTCGAGTACGTGCCCCGCCCCGGTATCTCG